GAGTAGGGGGACTGAGACGGTGGCGACGTGGAGGGCCTAAGCGACGGCAGCGATGGTGGTTGTTGAGCAGTTGGTGTTGGTGTCTTTCCACTTATAGCTACGTTATGAGCATCATAAACGTTGGATTGCCTTCCTTCTAGAACATTGGCTTGCAAGGAGCATTTGAAATCTTTAGCGCGCAATATGAACAGGGATCATCTAAGGCAAGCTGAGTGATTTTGGGCTACTTTTAATTTATAAGCCTAGTGCAGTACGGACTAGAGAACTTTGCGTTCTTCATTAGGGAATATGTAGTAGTTGGTACATCTGATTTTGAGCCTACAGGTTAGCCGGCCCATCGTCCTGTTCGCTTGGCTTATAAGCGGTACTTTTTCAGTCAACGAATAATATTTTTCTCTCACAATAAATTAGTTAACCGTACTTCCAGTCATGACTTATCAGCCAAACGAATATAGCGCATTTTTTTTCCTGTTAGCTTGAAGCCCACCACAAAGCCTTACATGATCTAGAAAACTGCTGAGATAGGTTAAACAACGAGGTCTACCATCAGATCGATCGTGCGATGTAGGCGAGGAATAAAATACACGTGATCAACCAGTCCACTTCAAACTTTAACTATAATCAACAATGGATACAATGAGTCTTCTCTAAAGCATCTAGAGATTTACAACAACAGCAAAACATTTATCAAATTACAAACTTGGCATCAACTACAACCACAATCGTCTAATAAGATGCATGACAACACCTAACGGACTCACAGGCTCCTCTATTGTGCACAAAATTTGGTAGGCACGTAGATCCATGAATCCCTAATCACTGATCAAGTTTCAGCTCAATCGAACACCGTTTCACCACCAAAATCAATCATCTACTAAAACTACTATGTTCTAAAACTTAACTTCAATTGACAAAACCCCTCTCAAATATGATGCTCTACTCATCCAATCCTCAAACCAACTGAACATATTGAAGTAAGTGTAGAATGAGCTCATTGATGCCTATCCAAACATGTTTGAGCCTCTCTCACTCTCACATTGTTGTTCAGAGCCACTAAATCTAGATAAATCTGCTTCTCTTTTTTCTTCCTCTCTTCTCTCACATTGTGTTCTATATGTGTTCTGCTTTCTCACTGTTCAAGTGCAACAGCAGGTGAAAAGGAGGCTAGCTTTTTTGTGTTTCTCACCCCTTCTCAAGAAATGATCTCAGTCATTGATTCTAACCGATATCAATGGTGCATAAACACTAGATTTGTGGACTGTTGACTGTTTTTGCTGGGCTCCAAATCATCCTCCGTGTGGAGGGATAGTCCGACGCTCTGCCCTGCAGACAAGCTTCAGGGGTCCAATACAAGGCAAACCTCACTGAAGAAATTGGCCACATGCCCATAAAGGTTGACTGGATAAATCAAGTTGATGATGAATAGAAAAGTTTCTGTTCCAAAGTGCTTGCAACTGGGAGGAGGAAGTTACCACTTGATCACCTGAAGCTCAGGCAATGCTATCAACATCTACCTCATTTGAGGAAGCTGCTAAACCGATTTTTTTTTTTTTTTAACCTTTATTTTGAAAAAAATTCATAAATATGTCCCTAGAGCTAAGATTTCAAAATATAGACCCTTAGCTCGGCGTCATCGTTGCCGGTGCTAAGCTTACACTGCTCGGCGTCCATCGTTACTTACGCCGAGGTCTTGAGCTCGACGCAGACGTGCGGTTATTTGATAGGTAGCTCGACGCCATAGATCTTATCGCCAAGCTTGAGATCGTACGTCCTGACGTCGAAATCGACGTCGTAGATCCACCGATGTGGTGTTTTAACTAATCGGTTCCCGAAATGTCATTTCGAGATCCATCTGAGGGGACGGTTGCTCTGACGTGTGATCCTCTGGTTTCTATTCTATCACAAGCCTAAAGGTGCAGTGGCCACCAGTACGTTGCTACTTGCTACACACAGACAGAACCATTGCATCAATATACACGTCATATCGGTTGTCAATCGTGAGATCGTGCTGGCGATCAATATATCATATATTATATCAATATCAATATCAGCCCTTGTTTAGTTCGCGCACATCAATATCAATATCAGCCCTCATATCGGTTGTCAATCGTGAGATCGTGCTGGCGATCAATATATCATATATTACATCAATATCAATATCAATATCAATATACAGCACGTCTGTGCCGGGATCGCTCCGCAGTTCATATGTAGGAGTAGAATCCACAGACACGGTTGTTGGCGATCAATAAAACACGCACCAACAGGAACACGGCCGGTGCGGGATGCGCACGTCGCGATGTCGACCCTAGGCTGCAGCTGAGTAGCTGACGGCGGCGGGGCCGGGCCGCCGCGACGGCCTGTGGCGGGATCGCTCCGCAGCTCCCGAAATTGGTGTCGGCGAAATTGGTGGATAGTATTGCATAATCAAACACTCTACGTACCGTACCTGGCTACGCAGGTCGTTTAGCCCTCGTTTAGTTCCGTCCTAAAACTTTACAATTAGTCACATCAAATACATGGACAAATATGTAAAGTATTAAATATAGACTAAAAAATAATTAATTACATAGAATACAACTAATTTACTAGACGAATCTTTTAAGCATAATTAGAACATTATTTGACAAGAAAGTGCTACAGTAACACATGCGCTAATGATATATTAATTAGGCTTAATAAATTCGTATCACGGTTTACTGACGGATTCTGTAATTTGTTTTATTAATTATGCTTAATAAATTTGTCTAGTGATTTACCGACGAATTCTGTAATTTATTTTTTTATTAGTATTCGAATACCCTATGTAATACTCCATATAACAGCTGATGTGATACTCCAAAACTTTACTCCCAAGACTAAACCAGCTCTTAATCAAATGGGTGGTAGGATCATAGGCAGATCTTGACGAGAGAAGGAAGAGACAGATCAGTGTGCTTGTCAAGGCGTGGTGGTGCAGAGGCCCCGGGAGGCGGCAGCTGGCGACGTGTAGGAGCTGCGGAGCGATCCCGCCACAGGCCGTCGCGGCGGCCCGGCCCCGCCGCCGTCAGCTACTCAGCTGCAGCCTAGGGTCGACATCGCGACGTGCGCATCCCGCACCGGCCGTGTTCCTGTTCGTGCGTGTTTTATTGATCGCCAACAACCGTGTCTGTGGATTCTACTCCTACACAGGAACTGCGGAGCGATCCCGGCACAGACGTGCTGTATATATATATATATATTTTTTGATCGCCAGCACGATCTCACGATTGACAACCGATATGACGTGTATATTGATGCAATGGTTCTGTCTGTGTGCAGCAAGTAGCAACGTACTGGTGGCCGGGCTGTTTGGTTTCTTAGACCGGATTTTAGTTTCTATCCCATCGAATGTTTGATATATGTATGGAGTATTAAATATAGACTAAAAAAATAACTAATTACATAGATTATGACTAATTTACGAGACGAATTTTTAAACCTAATTAGTCCATGATTTGATAATATGGTGCTACAGTAAATATATGCTAATGATGGATTAATTAGACTTAATAGATTCATCTCGTAAATTAGCCTACTCACGTGTAATTAGTTTTTTAATTAACTCATATTTAGTCCTCTTAGATAGCATCAAACGTCCGATATAACACGGACTAAACTTTAGTCATGGATTTAACCAGAAACCAGGGATCAGACGTCAGAGCAACCGTCCTCTCAGATGGAACTCGAAATGACATTTCGGGAACGGATTAGGGTCGGTTTAGAATCCCGGCACATGTATGAAGTACTAAATATAGACGAAAAAAACTAATTACACATTTGGATGAGAAATCGTGAGACGAAACTTTCGAACCTAATTAGTCCATAATTAGACACTAATAATCAAATACAAATGAAAATGCTACAGTAGCCAAACAGTACCCAGACCTAAAAAATTTTAGGAACTAAACACGCCCTTAGTTAAAACACCACCTCGACGCCGTAGCCAAGCTCGACGTCAAGATCTAAGGCGCCAAGCTCGGCATGGATCTACGACGTCAAGCTTGGCACCAGGATCTATAGCGTTGAGCTGCCTACCAAGTCATCACCACCATGTCTGTGTCGAGCCCAAGACCTCGGTGCCAGTAATGATGGTGCCGAGTAGTGTAAACTCGGCGTCATAGCTAAGGGTCCAGATTTTGAAACCTTATCTCTAAGGACATATTTCTAAAAATTATTTCAAAAAAAACCTAAAAAATAAAAAATTCGGACAGCTAAATATGGCGGCTTGGGCTTCACTTATTCACAGTGATTCTTATAGAGGGACTAAGTCTGTTTTGCTGTTTTCTCTTCGAATGTGTTTTTATACAGGATGTAACCCATGGGCATGTTCGACAGGACTAAAAAATACTGTTCCGGTTGATTGTTGTGGGAAAAAATACTGTTCTAGCAGAACGTAAATAGTGATTTCGTGAGTGGCGGAACAAGCCAGCCGACTAGCTTTAAGCCAGCCGAACACGCCCCATCTGAATGCTGTATGAATGTTTTGGTCTTTGCGATGCTAAGCCAAGGGCTTTGCCCTTGAACTCTAAAAAAAAAATCGGACGTGTTTGCTGGTCTGGTCCATCCATACCAGCCGGCTGATCCCCTCAGTAAGTACTATCTACAGTATTTCTTTTTCAAAGAACGCGTCAAGTTTCAGCCAGCGAACAGGGCTGATAATGGAAACTCCACTGTGGTGATTGTGTCAGCTGTGACGTAGTGCGCGCGTAGTGCATCATCCATGACATAAGCTGACTCTGCTGTGATTGATTGTTTGGCTCTATTTTTCTATGCTCGCTGCTTACTTATTTGAACAGCAATCTTGAACAGTCCAAGTGAGGACGTCCTCAAACTGAATTTTTCATATCTGAATGTGCGACTGTACACACGGTACACACTAACGCACCTATTATAAGAACAGGGAGAGTGGCACAGTGCCAGACCATCTCCCCCAATCTCATAAAAAGAACCTCTGCCTTGCGTTTGACAAAGCCACTCGAATGGACGCCGGCGGCGGGAGCATGCACGTTGTGATGCTGCCATGGCTGGCCTTCGGTCACATCCTCCCGTTCACCGAGCTCGCCAAACGCATAGCTCGGCAGGGCCACCAGGTCACCATCCTTTCGACGCCAAGAAACACTCGACGGCTTATCCACATCCCACCGGACCTGGCTGGCCTTGTCCGCGCCGTCGACGTACAGCTGCCGCGCGTGGAGCACCTGCCGGAGGACGCCGAGGCTAGCATCGACCTACCCTCCGACGACCTCCGACCGTACCTGCGCCGGGCCTACGACGCGGCCTTCGCCGACAAGCTTTCGGACATCCTGCAGGAGCCGGGGCCGCGGAAGCCGGACTGGGTGATCATCGACTACGCCGCGTACTGGGCGCCCGCTGCCGCAGCGAGGCACGGAGTGCCATGCGCGTTCCTGAGCCTGTTCGGCGCCGCGGCGGTCAGTTTCTATGGCCCCGCGGAGGGGCTCTTGGGACGCGGCAAGTACGCAAGGACGAAGCCAGAGCAGCTAACCGTGGTCCCCGACTACGTGCCGTTCCCGACCACCGTCGCGTTCCGCGGCTTCGAGGCGCGCGAGTTTTTCACGCCGGTCTTGGTCCCGGACGAATCTGGCGTGTCGGAAGGCTACCGGTTCGCCAAGTGCATCGAAGAGAGCCAGCTCGTGGGCATCAGGAGCAGCGCGGAGTTCGAGCCGGAGTGGCTGCAGGTGCTCGGCGGGCTATACGGGAAGCCGGTAATCCCGGTCGGCCTATTCCCTCCACCACCCACACAAGACATCGGCAGCCACAAGGCAGCGCTGCAATGGCTGGACAGGCAGGCGCGGGGCTCCGTTGTGTACGCGGCGTTCGGCAGCGAGGCGAAGCTGACGAGCGCACAGCTGCAGACCATAGCGCTCGGTCTCGAGGCTTCCGGCCTGCCGTTCCTGTGGGCATTCAGGCAACCGGTCGATGCCAACGAAGGCAAGAGCGGATTGCCGGAAGGTTTCGAGGAACGCGTCGACGGCCGCGGACTCGTCTGCCGCGGCTGGGTGCCTCAGGCCAGGTTTTTGGCCCACGAATCTGTCGGAGGGTTCTTGACCCACGCCGGCTGGAACTCCATCATCGAAGGCCTCGCCCGCGGCGTCAGGCTGGTGTTGCTACCGCTGATGTTCGATCAGGGCCTCAACGCGAGGCATCTGACGGAGAAGAAGATAAGCGTCGAGGTGCCGCGAGACGAGGAAGATGGCTCGTTCGCGCCCAAAGATATTGCAGCTGCTTTGAGGAGGGTCGTGGTGGAGGAAGAATGCGAGGTGTTCGGGGATAAGGCCAAAGAGCTCGCCAAGTTGTTTGGAAATGACGTGATGAATGATCAGTGCGTGCGAGATTTTCTCAAGTGCCTGTCGGAATACACCAGGCAGCGACAGTCAGTAGTTGGGTTATAGGGCTGGTAATGTCCAATTTTGGATAAGGGCCCTTTTCAAAGGTTCACTACGACTGAGTGAGAACTAGAACACACCCTCAGATAATAAACAAAAAAAAAGTAATAAAAATGCTTGCTTTATTTTCTCCTAAAGAATAGAACAAGTATATAGATCCTTATACCTATGTATGCACATCTATTACCAATAACAATAATGTCTCCAACAGATGTACACGTAGTTTTTGAGATTGATGAAGTTAGCATGGCTGCCTCGTTGTTAACGGACACATAAACAAATAGCTAAAAACTAGTTCATCAACCTATGCTCCAACAAAGGTTACAATCTTAGAAGACATAGCATATAAGCTAATATTTAATGCAAAATATATCATGTACTGTTTTTGAAGCTATGCCTAGTTTGATAAAATACCAAAAAAGTGAGGTGTTTGTGCTGCAGGCAACTGTAGAGGAGGAGAGAAAAGTGGCAGATATGTTTAAATGTAACACATGAGATTTCTCTTTAAAGTATTTGGGTATAATGCTACAGATATTATATGAGTTCAATTGATTTCTCTTATGTCTACTACCCGAAAGTAGAAAAGAGAGTTCCTACGTTGCAGAGTTGTCTTTTGTCATACGGAGGAAAGATGTCTTTGACTGAGTCAGACTTATGCCTAAGTTCAATTCCAACCTAATTATGGGTATGTTTCAATTGAAAGGGGAAGGCTCACCGCAAAAAGGAGACAACAAGGTCTAATTTCTTTTGTCATGGTCCTGGACAAAAGAAGAAATACCATATGATGAAATGGGAAGTTCTAGCTTCTCCCAAACAAGGAGATTGTTTGGGTTTCACTAACACCATGATTATGAATCAATGTTTGCTATGTAAATGGATTTATAAACTTTAGAGCTCTAAACTTTAGAGATAAAAGCTCCAAACAAGTGGACTAAAATTAGCTCTAAACTTTAGTCTACATCATATTAGAACATTAAAGCTCAAAAGTGAGTTAAAGTGCTCTAAATCTTTTAGGCCTCTAAAGTTTAGAGTAGGGGATCCAAACAGACCCTAAGTATTTGAGAGAGAAAGGCTTTTACTGTTCTTGCAGTAGAGGGGGACCTCAATTTTGGACAGGACTGCATGAGATTTCATAGGCTTGTAATAGAGGTTTAATATATGTGGTAAATAATGGGAAGAAAGCAAGATTTTGGATCGATGTTTGGCTAGGCAATTGCCCTTTCTACAATGTGCTAAAAAGCAATGAAATTAGCCTTTAGAAGGTCCTTTGGAAGGTGGAACAGGAGGAATGGCTTTCACTAGTTGCGAACACATGGTGGATATGCGCCAATGTGTGAGAATGATGAGTGATTGCCAAGAGGTGATCGAACTTGAGTTTACTGTGTTGAGACTAACCATTGCGTGAGTTGGTGTATGTACAATATGTCTCTTGTCTCCTGATGTGCAAATGTTGAGCGTTGAGATGGCCGATGATAATGGAGAAGGTAAAGTGAGTTCGTGCCGATGGACTGATAACAGTGAAGGATGGACTTGGAGGCTTGGACGGAGGGCCGGAGATGGACCGTGCATGGCTAGCACTTGGCGACGTCGACGAGCAAGTGTGCATGCGAGGAGGTGTAGATGGTGTTGACCGAAGTCAAGATGGCGATTGACCAAGTCAAGGTGAGAGCACAAGCACTTGGTGATCAGGTGGTCAAGAACGAGCGGGACATGTGTCGAGATCGTGGAGGAGGCGTAGTGGATATGGGACTCCAGCTGGGTTTGGCAGTTTCAGCCTCGAAACCGTGGACGGCAGGTTTGCTGGGTTTGGGCCTCAAAACCCGGGAGAGGATCTCTGGGCAGGATGCGACATCATTGGAGAGCTTGGTTTGAGGCGCTTTCTCGTGAGGTCCCTCTAGTGGTTACAACAGCCTTAGTAGTGTCGGATATCTATATCCCAGGTATCCGAGCTAAAGGATTAATAAGCGTCATGACGGCTCATCCGATGGTTAAGGACGCAACTGCGGCCTCGTCCGACCCCAAGGCATGGGCTCCGACTCTGAGGACGAGGTTTCCGCCTCGTCCGACCCCAAGGCGTGGGCTCCGACTCTGAGGACGAGGTTTTCGCCTCGTCCGACCCCAAGGCATGGGCTACGACTCCTCTGACCCCAGGGCGTGGGCTCTGACTCGTTCGGTCCCATTGGGAGGGCTCTGCCTCGTCCGACCCCCGAGGGTCAGATAATGTCTCGCCCGGCCCCCAGGGCGAGATTTCCACCTCGCCCGTTCCCTGCGGGTCGGATTTACTACTGGATAAAAGCAGTGGCCCCAGGATGGGACCCGAACTGCTTCAACCACTACGGCGTGGAGGCACACGCCCAGGGGCACGTCTCGGGTGCATCCTGATGCGACTGGCGGTCGCATCAAGCCATGCTGGGAGACTCACGTCGCTCATCGCGTCAACAGGCCAGCACTATGCTGTCAACTCCCTGCCTGACCACCGTCCAACGCCAGTCGACCTGCGTTAGTTGACTGGCACTGTACCGCTGGCCCCCCGTATGGCCTCTGTCAGGGGACACTTTGACCATTCCCTCCGCTCGGATGGGATGGAAGACAAGAACGGCGCACGATGCCCGCACGTATGCTGTAGCAGCCAATAGGACCCCGGTGTGATGCCGCTGCCACCATGATCTACAGGGTCAGTGGGACCCACATGAAGAGGAGGACAGCACACCCCCGGGAGCCTTATTTCTCTTTCTTTTTTCCCTCTTCCCTTCTATTAGTCTTGGGTATCTTGTTCTCTCCTCCTGGTCTATAAAAGGGAAGGCAGGACACCGTTCAGAAAGAGAGATTGATCAACCGATAGATCGAGCAGTAGAAGCATCGAGCAATCAAACCATAGAGACTTGGGAGCTCCTCCCTCTCTCGCCAGTTTGTAACCTCTTACTACAAACTCAGTGCTGGTAACATGAGCAGCCCAAAACTAGACGTAGGGACATTCGGCCCGGACCAGTATAATCCTTATGTCCTCTTAGCACACCATCCGGGTCAGACGCATAATATACAAATTTACGAGTTGGCTGTTCTAAACACCGACAGTTGCTGCGCCAGGTAGGGGCCTTTTGCGCATCTCGACATCAACAACAGGCCTCAGATGGCTAGTCACGACATCACCTGGGTCCCGGGCGCACACGTGTGCTTTGGGGACCTGGACTTCATCATCACGATGGAGGGAGAGCTGGCGCGGGCACCCGTCGTCATTCAGCCTCTCCACTCCGTCGGTCTCGACATGATCGCCGAGGCGCTTGAGGAGCTATGGTTGCACGCACCGGAGGCCCGCACCCCCGGGAGCGGCTAGCTCCTCGACTTTGACTATGGGAGGTTGGAGCGTCAACTCGGCGTCTTCCTAGGACCCCAACCATCCCGGGAGGGCCTGCGCCACCTCGCCTTCTCGTTCGCCAACGTCATGGCACAACTTACCGGGGAGAGCCGCTCTCCCCGAAATACCTCATCCGGAGCACCCCAATAGTGCTCCCATTCGGTCTCTGTAACGCCGCAGAGACCGTTGGCCACCTTGTGGGGCAACGAATGATTCCATCCCCCGTGAATGATGAGTTCATGGGGGTGATCGAACACGTCGTGGAGTCTTTCCATGACCTCCTCATAGAGAAGCTAGAGTCGCCCTCTGGCTCTAACTCCAGCAGGGGGAGCCATCACCCCTCTTGTGAATGCTTCATGATAGGTACCCTCGAGGGACACGTCGAAAGCATCCACGAGCAGGAGGCTACCCCGATGGATGACCTCGACGACGAGGTCGAAGGAGATACAAGAGCCCTACCCCACCTACGGGTGGAGCAGCTGAAGGCCTGGCACCTAAAGCTTGAGGAAGCGTGACTCTAGCTCGAGCAGAAACATGCGGAGCTCGATCGTGAGATAATGCGCCACGGAGACGGGGGGAGGCACACGCGCCATGGCCCATGACGTGAACCGAAGGATCGTCGAGGATGATCAAGCGCTCCCACACTTCGCCCAGGTAAGCCAGAATATTGTTGCTGCGGCAGCCTTGCTCAGGGGGCTTTCGGTGCCTGCGACGCTCGAGGATCGATGGGCCCACCATGAAATTCGCACGCTGCTCGAGCATGTAGCTGCGCAGCAGGCCGAGAGCTCGTTGTCTCAGCAACGGGAGCTTGACGCCAGCCAGCGCATGCCCTCAATGTGACCCGACAAGGACGCATCAATCCACCAGGTGCCGCACGGCGGCAGGCCACGCATCACTGTTCCGGTGTAGGAGCATCTCGGTCACAACCATGACATGCGTGACACCCTCGACGCCCGTCGGTGTACCCGCAGCGATGCGGGGGTGGGGGCCAGCCACGGTTACCGCCCTCGACAGGGCGGACGCTATGATCACAAGAAGGATCGAAGTCATAGCCCCGAACCAACGGGGATCCAGGCCTTCGGTTGGCATATCCTCAAGGTGGCGCTCCTGCCCACCGGCTAACATCCCAAAATACTTCGGGGAAACGAACCCCAGCTTATGGCTCGAGGACTACCGGCTCGCCTGTCGAGCCGGCGGTGCGGTTAGTGACGACTTCGTCATCAGCAATCTCCCCCTGTTCCTGGCTGACTCAGCACGAACATGGCTGGAGCACCTTCCGCCCAACTGCGTTCAGAGTTGGGCGGACCTGAAACAAATCTTCGTGCGAAATTTCTAGGGCACGTACACACACCTTGGGAACCCCTGGGGCTTGAAGAACTACCGACAGAAGTCGGAAGAGACTCTCCGCGAGTACATCTGATTCTTCTTCCGGCAGTGCAATGAGCTCCCCAATGTCGCCAATTCCGACATCATCGGAGCCTTCCTATCAGGGACCACCTATGAGTCCCTGGTCCATAAGTTGGGACATAAGGGCCCACAGACTACCAAGGAACTCCTTGACATCGTGACGAGCCACGCTTCCGGCGAGGAGGCAGTTGGAGCAATTTTCGATCGCTCCAGAGGCAAGGCAAAGTGGAACGAGGACGCCGAC